GCATAACGAAAACCCATAAATATTAGTATTAATTCACAGAAGATTCGATGTCACACAGTACACCTGTCATGGAAGTGAGAAACTGATCATTGGGGCATTTGTTATGTTCCTTCTTGTGAGGTCCGCGCATCCTCACAACTGTAGAGGCTGCGCACCGTTGGCTGCGTCACCTACGGCGCAGCTGACTTTTTTCATCTATAGAGATCGTGTGCTCTGTCGTTTGTTACGGAGAGCTCCGACAGGTACAATAGTTGGAGGGTTACTACAAAAGCTTCTGCCCGAAACGCTGCGCGTGCTAGTGGCTTTACAAGACTGTAATTACCATATTTGTATCCTCACATTTCTTATGTACATTCTTGTATATGCATAAATAAAAATAAAAAAAAATAAAAAAAAATAATAGCGGTGGTTGGAGGGCTTATACAGAGCCAGTGACTGACTGAAGGGGTCCAGCATTGCAGATAGCTTGAGAAACTCCAGTAGTGCCGTCATTTGGAGACAACGCCGGCGGATGGAGGGTTCTGCCAGTGACGGTGGCTGACACAAACGCCCGGACAGCAGTTATAAACTAAAGAGCAGTCACAGCTCCGTCAGTCATGAAGGCGCCGGCTTGGCTGATCTTCGCGTGGGTCTTGGACGTTACGTCCTTCAACACCGAAGACGGAAATCTGCAGCAGGCAAGTAGAATCAAATTTCTGTTGTGTATTTCGAAATTTATATATTTATTTTTAACTAGATTGGGCACCAGGCTGAGACTGGGTATCTCTCCGATTAACACTCAGCCACAGGCCCCACAGGGGCCTGTGGCTGAGTTGTCAACGCCCCGGATTCGTAGTTCTATTGCCTGGGGATCGATCCCGGCGATGGCAGAAACAAATGGGCAGAGTTTTTTTTTATCCTGATGCACCTGTTACCTAGCAGTAAATAGGTACCTGGAAGTTAGACAACTGTTATGGGCTGTGACCTGTGTGTGTGTGTGTGTGTATACTCACCTAATGGTACTCACCTATTTGTGCTTGCAGGATCGAGCATTGACTCCCGCCTTTCCAGCCATCGGTTGTTTACAGCAATGACTCCTGTCCCATTTCCCTATCATACCTAATTTTAAAATTATGAATAGAGTTTGCTTCCACAACCTGTTCCCCAAGTGCATTCCATTTTTCCACTACTCTCACGCTAAAAGAAAACTTCCTAACATCTCTGTGACTCATCTGAGTTTCCAGTTTCCATCCATGTCCCCTCGTTCTGTTATTATTACGTGTGAACATTTCATCTATTTCCACTTTTGCCAATTCCTCTGAGTATTTTATATGTTCCTATCATATCTCCTCTCTCCCTTCTTTTCTCTAGTGTCGTAAGGTTCAGTTCCTTCAGACGCTCTTCATATCCCATCCCTCGTAACTCTGGGACAAACCTCGTCGCAAACCTCTGAACCTTTTCCAATTTCCTTATGTGTTTCTTCAGGTGGGGGCTCCATGATGGCGCAGCATACTCTAAGACTGGTCTCACGTAGGCAGTGTAAAGCGCCCTAAAAGCCTCCTCACTTAGGTTTCTGAATGAAGTTCTAATTTTCGCCAGTGTAGAGTACGCCGCTGTCGTTATCCTATTTATATGTGCCTCAGGAGTTAGATTAGGTGTCACATCCACTCCCAGGTCTCTTTCTCGAAGCTTTACAGGTAGGCAGTTCCCCTTCATTGATAGGTGTGTGTGTGTGAAACAAAAAGTTAATTGATTGACAGTTGAGAGGCGGGCCGAAAGAGCCAGAGCTCAACCCCGGCAAGCACAACTAGGTGAATACTTAGTGGGCTAGCCAGAGGCTTAGGACCCGCGCAGGAATATCACTGAAAAAAATCTCTCACTCCCCCTCACTTCCTTTTCTCATCACACTTTCCTTATCCTTCTTCTCATCTCGTGCCCCGCACCCCTCTCACCCTTTCTACCCTTTTTCACAATCTATAACCTTAATTTTCCAACCCTCATCAACTTTCTCCCCGCCTCCCCTCCCTGATCTCCTCTCCTCTCCCACTACATCTCCCTCCTCTCCCGTCTCTCCCCCCTTCTTACCCCTCACCATTTCGCCCTCAGCTCCCCAGCTCTCTCTCTCTCTCTCTCTCTCTCTCTCTCTCTCTCTCTCTCTCTCTCTCTCTCTCTCTCTCTCTCTCTCTCTCTCTCTCTCTCTCTCTCCAGCTCTTTCTCTTTCTCTCCTCATAGAATAACAAAGCAATAGTCTCAGTATTGTCTAAGCAACAACCAACATAACGTGGCTCATCATCATCATCATCATCATTATCATCATCATCATCATCATCATCATCATCATCAAGTAACAGGCGACCGACATACCTCTTAGTTTGATTCCATTTCTTATTGAGACAAACGTGTAGATTACCATCGTTAAAAGCGTTCTAAAATTACAATGAATAATAAAAGCAATCCTTTAACACACATTGGTAATTTTTTCCGTAAAAGCACCTGATGATTTTCGCTTCCTTTGATGAGCTTTTATTAAAGTCAACAAACAGTGCGATAACTTATCAGTAAATCGTTTACAGGTGTTCATGATGAAACTAATCAAGGGTATTGCCCGAGACGCTATGCGTATTAGTGACTTTAGGTATTATATGTACTAACTCTATCTTTAAATCCAACATTATGTTTGTAACTCTGCATCTATGTATGTACTTTTACCTGAATAAAAATCTGAATTTGGAATACGTGTTATTAAGAATTCGGAATGTCTCACAGAGTAAAAAGTGGTTTAAATGCCGTATCAAGAGAAAAAAAGTATTATTCTATCACTGGAAAAGCAGTCAGTAGTTTAATATGAGTGAGAAATTGCGAAGATTGTTGTGCTTTGACGAGACAGAGTAGTTGGGTGAGACGAAACAAGGATGGTTGTGCTTGGGTCAAATATAATTAGGCTGGTTGTGCCTGGTTGTATTGCAGGAGTCGCAGAGAGTAGCTGAGGACGTGAGGTGTCTCGCTGCTGGAGGAGTGTGTCTCCTGAACACCTCAGATTGTCACTCTCCTCTAAACCACTTCAACGACTGTCCTCACCCCAGTGTCCTCTGCTGCCAGGGTGAGTCTTCTCGCTCCTTGACGTCTGCTACAACACCCTAGTCTCTACTGCAACAGCACCCTAGAGTTAAACTCAATATACAAAAACTAGATTTGTTACAAAGAGGGAAGTGAGTAATTGTATGCCACCACCGACACTTAAGAAAGGCCTAACTCATTAACCTCGATGTACTTGTACAAGCACGGGAAAATCCAGACATATACAATGGGACTTGCAGCTATGGGTAAAGGAGTGAATTTTGAGGAAAATATTAGGAATCAGTTAGTCTGATAGAGATGATAGTAAACACTTTTACAGCGTGAGGATGGATGCGAGGAAGTCTTTGAAAGTAGTTGAAATTAACACAACACAAAGGTGAATACACACACGTGTTCATATTTACATTTCCGTTGTGTGTGATATTCAAGACAACACTTGTATTTCTGATTTACGAGTCTGTCTCTCTCTCTCGCGCGCGCACACACACACACACACACACACACACATATATATTTATATATATACACATACACATGACAGGGGCTCGTAAATCACACATTTCGGGAGCTGTACTGTCACTCACACGTGCAGGAACACTAACAAATACTTTTGCGTACTTATAATGCAATATTTAAAGTAAAATCTGAACGACCTGAGACACGTGTATTTACACAAATATGCAGACTTATTGAAAATCAATACAATGAATTCTTATTCCGTTTGACACATAATTCACATATATAATACTTGCAGTAATTAATTACAATATAGTTTCAACCATATCAACAAATATGCTTTGCTTGGGATGTGTATTAACTATGCAAAGTACCCCTAATTTTCGATTGAAAAGTGCCATGGAAAATAGCAATGAGCAGAAGCATCTACAAAGAAAAATAGGCGTTTCAGAGTTAATTATATAATATGAATCGTGAAGAATATTCACAGCTTTTTTTAATAGCCTACAAGAGAGGTTTCAAGCCTTGAATATCTATAGTTCTAGGGACACGTTATACCTGGGATTATAATATATTTATTATTACAGTCCTACATATTCTCACTATTATGTATACCACAACATGTGTCAAAAGAGGTGCAGTTAACTTCACTCACAGAGTTGGTATGTAGATATCAAGATCTATATCAGCAGGAAACATGATTACAGATTGTACATGAGTGTGTATGAGTTCCAGTAAATCATCCTCATCCTCATGGGTTGTATTCTCATCATGGCAGCTATTTATGAAACAGCATTTTCTTATCCATAAAAATTTTAAGATCGTAGGACGGTTATCCTAATGCTCTGAGGAGGTCAAGTGTTCGAGTATAAACACTGTATTAAGACAGATCTTTACTATTATCAATACAGACGCAGGTAGACAGGAGGACTCGAAGAGCAAGAGGGAGACGGGAGGTGGTGATGGACGGGCCAGTGACGTCGGTCGTGTTGCCTTCCTCCCTACGGGGACAGGACGTGACGGAAGGACAGCGAGTAAAAGGAAGAAAAAGCAAAAGAAATTGAGTAATTGGAAGAGTAACGAAAAGAAAATCGTTAGCGGAAAGAAACACAAAAAGAAAATTATTAATGGGAAGAAAGACAAAATTAAAATGGGTAATTGGCAGAGAAACAAAAAGAAAATAATTAATGGAAAGAGAGGTGAACATAAAATAGGCATATGGAAGAGACACGAAAAGAAAATGGGCAATGGGAAGAACAAAATAATGAAACAGAGAAGGAAAGGTAAGAGGCGAAATGGAATTGCGAATGAGAAAATAAAAATAGGAAAAGGTGAGATAAAAATAGGAAAGAGAGGTAAAGACGTTAATCGCGATAAAAATGTAAACGCGAAAGAAAACAAATTTGTTAAAGCGAAAAGAGATAAACATAAAATGAAGGATAAAAGTCGTGGTGAAAATAGGAAGAGAGAAATAAAAAAAATGAACAATGAAGGTAAGAAATTTAAAGAAAATAGGAAAATTAAGATTAACAATAATATCAGAAAAGGAAAGAAAAACAGCAAAAAGATAATTCCGGGAAAAATTAGTAAAAGCAATGTTAAAAGAGACAGAAAAACACGCAAGAGAAAGGAAAAAGACAGTGACAAGGGTAGCAGTACGTCCCATGGCGGCAGCATCAACAGGAGACAACTGAGCGTCAAGGACAATTATTCCCAAGGAAAGAACCCTAAAAGGATTTCGCGCCGTGGAAAGAAGAAAGGAAGAAAGAAAACCAACTCATTCAAGAAGAACGGAGGAGGGAACCAAGGGTCTTCGAACCATCGCGGGCACCAAGGGTCTTCGAACCATCGCGGGCACCAAGGGTCTTCGAAACACCGCGGGAACCAAAGGTCTTCGAACCATCGCGGGAACCAAAGGTCTTCGAACCATCGCGGGAACCAAGGGTCTTCGAACCATCGCGGGAACCAAGGGTCTTCGAACCATCGCGGGCACCAAGGGTCTTCGAACCATCGCGGGAACCAAGGGTCTTCGAACCATCGCGGGAACCAAGGGTCTTCGAACCATCGCGGGAACCAATGGTCTTCGAAACACCACGGGCACCAAGGGTCGTCGAAACACCACGGGCACCAAGGGTCGTCGAAACACCACGGGCACCAAGGGTCGTCGAAACACCACGGGCACCAAGGGTCGTCGAAACACCACGGGCACCAAGGGTCGTCGAAACACCACGGGCACCAAGGGTCTTCAGAACACCACGGGCACCAAGGATCTTCAGAACACCACGGGCACCAAGGATCTTCAGAACACCACGGGCACCAAGGATCTTCAGAACACCACGGGCACCAAGGGTCTTCGGAACACCACGGGTCCAGTAACGGTGGGGACTGCAAGGTGCAAGCAAGAGCTGCTTGCAAGAAGCACGGAGGAAGCTGTGTAACAAAGGGCAAGAAATGCAGAGATAAAATCAAATCCTTTCAATTCGGTTCCTGCCCGCCTTGTCAGTGTTGCCAGAAGGGTGAGTACTTCATGTTGTTGCTACTATAAAGACTAAGTACAGAATGTTTTTTGTTTACCGATGTTGTAGAAATAATTGTTTGTGTTTTAACTGATGTGTCGGCATTGGAAACTGAGCTTTGTAATTGTCAAAAAGACCCGAGACTATTGGAGCATTTTTTTTTTGCTGTCATAAGGACAGTGAGAAATGTGTCATGTTATAGAAACCAGAACAGTGGTTCTCAGTACCTGCTGAAGATCAGTTTGATGTCTCTGCTGTAGATTGAGAGATATGAATTGGTGGTGTGATTCTACATAGGATGTGTGGCTATTGCAACGGTTATGGGAGACTTGCGTGGGGTTGTTACTATCTTAGAGACCATTACAATTGTGTGTTGTAGCTGCTGTGAAGACCATTGAAATAGTTTCCATAGTAGCTACGATACACAATTATAATTGTCTGAAAAGTAGCTGCAGTGCACAGTTGAAATAGTCGCTACAATGCACAATTGCAACACTACAGTAACGACAGTACTCAATTTAAACATAATATTGCCGTTACTGTAGAATGTGGTGCATTCTAGCGACTATTTCAACTGTGTACCGTAGCTACTTTTCAGACAATTATAATTGTGTATCGTAGCGATACCAGAAACAGCATGTGATAGGTCGGAGGCAGAGTTCAAGGTCATCACTGCTTCGAGAAAACATGACTTAAACCTGCCTCAGATTTTTACTTGCTAAAACAACGAAAAAACATCTTAGTTCTTTGCTGAAAGCTATTACAATAATTCATTTTCTTCTTAAAGTTAATTTGACAGTTACGTTAATGACGAGATATTTTCTCCAGGTTGTAAAGCGAAGAAGAAATGCAAGACCGCTCGTGGCTCCTGCAAGAAGTCGTGTAGGAAGGAGGAGCGTGAGCTAAAGAAAGGCTGCAAAGGCAAGCATTGCAAATGTTGCATCAAGAAGGTTGAGAAAGGTGAGCCCGACGTCTGTACTGCGAATATCATATGAGAAAGAATTGGAATAATGTGAATAATATTGTGACTCTTAAGCACATAAAACAATCATCCAAAATCAAAAAAATTTTTGACTGTCTTTCAGGACTTTAATTACATTATTTTATCATATTTAAATTATGAATGTAGTGACTCCTGGTCACTAATGAACTTAATCGACACTCTAACACTAAATGGGAGCATTACTGGGAGGATATGTTCTCAAAATGTAAACTAATATCTGGCATGTTCAGAAAACACCAAAATGAATTTAAACAAATACATATCACCTCCTTGAATGGCAAAGTTGTTGCGTTAGGCAAAATTAAAATAAGGGTTTGCAGTTGAATTTTGTTTTAAAGTTACTTTTGCTTTGACTTACAAATATTTGTGTTACAAAAATGCCCCAAAGAATATAATTTACTTGTGGTGCTAAATCTCCTATTCTTTGGCAGCCAGATCATGTGTCCGATGACCTGACTTAAACAAGCAACAGACCCTCGTAATCTATTCCTTATGATATCAAACAAAACACAATTTCCTAATGCAAATGCAACGTATCTTCATGAACACATCCACCTCTTCTGATTAGTTTCCGAGCCATTCTATAATCTTCAAGTTCGAACTGATGAACCTTCAACAATGTATCAATTTGGAAAGATTTCTTAGAGTGATAATTGAGCATCACTGTTTCGTTCCTATGGTTCATGTCAATTGAGCTCTTGTATTATACCGTCGAGCTCTTGTATTACACCGTCGAGCTCTTGTATTATACCGTCGAGCTCTTGTATTACACCGTCGAGCTCTTGTATTATACCGTCGAGCTCTTGTATTATACCGTCGAGCTCTTGTATTATACCGTCGAGCTCTTGTATTACACCGTCGAGCTCTTGTATTATACCGTCGAGCTCTTGTATTATACCGTCGAGCTCTTGTATTATACCGTCGAGCTCTTGTATTACACCGTCGAGCTCTTGTATTACACCGTCGAGCTCTTGTATTTCTGGACATGTCACGCGATGAAATGACGTGAGGTCTGACGTCTGTTTGTCACGTTTTTCCTCACATTAGCAACAGTAAAATGTATACATTGAAAATACATTACACATCTCTACAAAGAAAAGCACATCCTAAACATAATGATGTATCCAGTGTTAATTGATCTAACACTGGATACATCTAATTTAATTTAATTAATGTATCCAAACACCAACAGGATCCAACTCTTGTCTTTGTGCTTTCCCGGACTTCTTAATTTTAGATACACGTTTATTATGGTTTAATGGAGCGTGATGAGAATGTCACACATATGTGTGTTTTTGTTTCCATGTGAATGTGTGTCTATTTTTGTGTGTCTGTGTCCACAATAAGAAGAGAAAACTAATAACGCATTTTATGAGACACAGACTCCGTTTTCTTTAAAAGGTTTATATATAGGAATTTTGTATCAGCTTCACAGCTGTTGATGAATGATTCTCAAATAATCAAAATATAGAATTTACACTAATGAAAGCATATATTGTTTAACAAAAATCTATATATATAGAAATAAAGTTCCTTGGGAGAGATGTGAAAGGTATTTGATCTTCCTGTTTAGTTTGATGTTGGGCTTAAGGCCTGTCAAACTCTCCAGTGTTATTAAGGCCACAATAATGTCCTACTGCCCAGCCAGAAAGAATACTTTAGTACTGAACATGGTCCGGAAATATAGTAAACTCTAAGTGTATATACACCACGAAGCTGCGTCCACCTCTCGAGGTATACCATTGTGTCTTACTTTTGTGAGAGTTGTGGAACGTATTTCCATTTTCTGTTGTACTCCAACACTGCACAACGAGCAAGAAACGCTGGACCGCTGGTGGCTCCAGCAGGAGGTCGTGTAGTGACGAACACAGCAAGTTGAGGCGAGGTTACAAAGGCAAATATTGCACGTGTTGCATCTCGGGACACGGAGATGAGGTCACTAACTGGACACTCGTAGAGTTTGCTTATGTTATCTGATAGAATTCGGACGCCTTGAGCACTCCACCGTACAGTGAAGAGAATGACTGCTTTCTGATAATTTGTTATGCAAAACTTAAATGGGTCAGGATCTAAATATTGCAGAAACATAGCCAATATAAAATGAAAACAAAACATGTTGCATCCTTGGTGTATTAATTCAATATCTATATAGAGATTGTTTTGGTGTTGAGCTTAAGACCTATCAACCTCTAAGGGTTATTAAGGCCACCACAATTGATTACTAACCACGTAGCAAGTATACTTTCTTACTGAACATATCCCAGGACTGCAGTATACGCTCAGTGCGTATACTCAGGTATGTTGGGCTTTCAGCTCCCGTTGTATATATTTCTATCTTGTTCTCGTGGAAGATATAGTTTCCCAACGGGGCCACGACACTGAGTTATCAGGCGGGGGACGGCGGGTTCCCTGTTGTTCACCCGTTCTCTGTTGCTAGTACACGATGTTCTCTGTTGTTAGTGCACGATGTTCTCTGTTGTCAGTGTACGATGTTCTCTGTTGTTAGTGCACAATGTTCTCTGTTGTTAGTGCACAATGTTCTCTGTTGTTAGAGCACAATGTTCTCTGTTGTTAGTGCACAATGTTCTCTGTTGTTAGTGCACAATGTTCTCTGTTGTTAGTGCACAATGTTCTCTGTTGTTAGTGCACGATGTTCTCTGTTGTCAGTGCACGATGTTCTCTAGCAGAATAAGACAGTATTTAGAGGTACTCACGAGGCTATAACACAGAATAATATTGCAAATATTGAATAAATGAATAATGACATCCCTTAAACTGTTGTCTATCCATATATTCAATTAATCAATCATTCAGTATTTTTATACATAGATGAATGTACATTTATCATTGCCTTAATTTAAAATAAATTATGGATATTCTATATAATGAACTTGTTCATATATTCTCAAATACAATTTATATTCCGACGTGTAAACAGAAATTGCCTAACACTGACCATTATAATTATTCTTTATATGTATAAATATAAAGCATTGCTTCTGTAGATGGCACTTAGGTTATCTTGAGATGATTTCCGGGCTTAGCGTCCCCGCGGCACGGTCCTCGACCAGGCCTCCACCCCAGAAAGCAGCTCGAACCCGGAACCTCAGGACTACGAATCCGGAACGCTGTCCACTTAGCTGTCAGGCACCTTAGCAGCTATGTACATAACTCTTGTTCTTCTACAGGCTGCAGTGCCAAGAAGAAGTGCCTGAGGAAGGGAGGGAAGTGCAAGGCCCAGTGCTCGAGTCATGAACATGAGATCAAGAAAGGATGTGTGGGCAGTTCCTGCAGATGTTGCGCCGTTCTTCACCGTGAGTGTCAACAGGTGTTGTAGCCCCTTGAGGCCTCACAGGGGTCTTCTTCCCTCTTCTGGCTACGGGTCATCTTCTTGCCCTTTCAGGTCACGGGGCCACTTGCTACCCGATCAGACCATTGAGCGTCTTGTTGCTCTGTGAGGATACCATACTTCTTGTTCCCCATTCAGGTCTTTATACCCCCTAAATAGTCTTTAAACAATGGTCAGTTCCTCACTATCTAAATGCCTTGGTATTTATTTTGCTGAGTGATAAGATATATCAGTAGTAGTCTCAGGTGATGAGTAACGCTGCTTGACTCCTTGTTGTGAGGCTGTGTCGTCTTCCTCTGCTTCTGGTGATAGTTGAAAACGTAAATCTCCCACTGATGATAACACAGTATGTTATGTGTATTCTGAATGATTATATTAATATTACAATTACGATAAGAACATAAAAATAACGGAAGCTAACGATGGCCCATTCGAGGCAGCTCTCTCTCTCTCTCTCTCTCTCTCTCTCTCTCTCTCTCTCTCTCTCTCTCTCTCTCTCTCTCTCTCTCTCTCTCTCTCTCTCTCTCTCTCTCTCTCTCTCTCTCTCTCTATATATATATATATATATATATATATATATATATATATATATATATATATATATATATATATATAATTATTTATTTATTTATTTTGACTTCATGTCTGTACCAACATACGGATATATTTATTTGGATTCCGCTATTCCTAAAATAATTATTTTATTTCATACGTCATTTGCAGGTAAATGAATAAGAATTATTAAAATAAAATTAATGCAATTATTTTTGTTTTGACAATTGCAGCACTGGTTAAAATAACCACAATAACCACTAAGACGTCATTTAATACAACATCTTGGAGACCCAACGCCACTATCACCATGTCATCATCTTGGACATCAAGCACCAAAATCACCACAGCTGTGGAATATGTACCAGCCACCACACCAGTCACCACACCAGCCACCACACCAGTCACCACACCAGTCACCATACCGGTCACCACAAACACTCCAACCACTACACCAACCAACATAATTTATCCTGCAACCAAATCGCCTTCTACCACTCTATTAATTTTTTTCACCAGCTTCCAAGTTCTATATCCTACCACAACAACCACCGCTTCACCCAACAATCTTGCACCACCAACCACTCCAGCATTACCTAACATTCCACCACCACCTGCCACCCCAGCAGCTAACATTCCACCACCACCTGCCACCCTAGAACCACCTACCACCCCAGCAGCTAACATTCCACCACCACCTGCCACCCCAGCAGCTAACATTGCACCACCACCTTCCACCCTACCACCACCTGCCACCCCAGCAACTAACATTCTACCACCACCTGCCACCCCAGCAACTAACATTCTACCACCACCTGCCACCCTAGAACCACCTACCACCCCAGCAGCTAACATTCCACCACCATCTGACACCACAACTACAACAACAAATATGACTTCAGCAACAGAGCCTACCACAATATCTACTACGGCAATTACAACCATAATATCAACCACAACCATAACTTCTAGAATTGCAACCAATAAGTCAACCCCCACAAGGTCTAACACCACAGTAACTACCCTAACAACAATCACTAAGTCAGACAATATTGTAGTCATAGCGTCCTCTAACACAACTAACACAACTATCACCACAACTACAACTATAACAACAACACTTACTAATATAACTACCACCACAGCAACCACCGTAAGCACCACCACTACCACAATCACAGTGCCTACCACTATAATCACAACATTCCCTTCATCCACAACCAACACAACACCTTCTACCACAACAACCATAACAAGCACTACCATTATAACACCTACTTTCACCACCACTGAAGCCACCACCACCACTGAAGCCACCACCACCACTGCACCCACCACCACCACCACTGAAGCCACCACCACCACTGAAGCCGCCACCACCACCACTGAAGCCACCACCACCACCACTGCACCCACCACCACCACCACTGAAGCCACCACCACCACTGAAGCCACCACCACCACCACTGCACCCACCACCACCACCACTGCACCCACCACCACCACCACTGAAGCCACCACCACCACCACTGCACCCACCACCACCACCACTGAAGCCACCACCACCACTGAAGCCACCACCACCACTGAAGCCACCACCACCACCACCACTGCACCCACCACCACCACCACTGAAGCCACCACCACCACTGAAGCCACCACCACCACCACTGCACCCACCACCACCACCACTGAAGCCACCACCACCACTGAAGCCACCACCACCACCACTGAAGCCACCACTACCACCACAGAAGCCACCACCACTGAAGCCACCACCACCACCACTGAAGCCACCACCACCACTGAAGCCACCACTACCACTGAAACCACCACCACCACTGAAGCCACCACCACCACTGAAGCCACCACCACCACTGAAGCCACCACTACCACTGAAGCCACCACCACCACCACTGCACCCACCACTACCACTGAAGCCACCACTACCACTGCAGCCACCACCACCACCACTGAAGCCACCACCACCACAGAAGCCACCACTACCACTGAAGCCACCACCACCACTGAAGCCACTACAACTACCACTGAAGCCACCACCACCACTGAAGCCACTACAACTACCACTGAAGCCACCACCACCACTGAAGCCACCACCACTGCGGCCACCACCACCACTGAAGCCACCACCTCTGAATCCACCACCACCACTGAAGCCACCACCACCACTGAAGCCATTACCACCACCAATGAAGCCACCACCACCACTGAAGCCACCACAACTACCACTGAAGCCACCACCACCACTGAAGCTACCACCACCACCACCACTGAAGCCACCACAACTACCACTGAAGCCACCACCACCACCACTGAAGCCACCACAACTACCACTGAAGCCACCACCACCACCACTGAAGCCACCACAACTACCACTGAAGCCACCACAACTACCACTGAAGCCACCACAACTACTGAAGCCACCACTACCACTGAAGCCACCACCACTGAAGCCACCACCACTACCACTGAATCCACCACAACTACCACTGAAGCCACCACAACTACCACTGAAGCCACCACCACCACCACTGAAGCCACCACTACCACTGAAGCCACCACAAATACCACTGAAGCCACCACAACTACCACTGAAGCCACCACCACCACCACTGAAGCCACCACAACTACCACTGAAGCCACCACAACTACCACTGAAGCCACCACAACTACCACTGAAGCCACCACAACTACCACTGAAGCCACCACTACCACTGAAGCCACCACCACCACCACTGAAGCCACCACAACTACCACTGAAGCCACCACAACTACCACTGAAGCCACCACAACTACCACTGAAGCCACCACCACTGAAGCCACCACAACTACCACTGAAGCCACCACTACCACTGAAGCCACCACCACCACCACTGAAGCCACCACAACTACCACTGAAGCCACCACAACTACCACTGAAGCCACCACCACCACCACTGAAGCCACCACAACTACCACTGAAGCCACCACAACTACCACTGAAGCCACTACAACTACCACTGAAGCCACCACCACCACCACTGAAGCCACCACCACCACCACTGAAGCCACAACCACCACCACCACTGAAGCCAACACAACTACCACTGAAGCCACTACAACTACCACTGAAGCCACCACAACTACCACTGAAGCCACCACCACCACCACTGAAGCCACCACAACTACCACTGAAGCCACCACCACCACCACTGAAGCCACCACAACTACCACTGAAGCCACCACAACTACCACTGAAGCCACCACAACTACCACTGAAGCCACCACCACCACCACTGAAGCCACCACAACTACCACTGAAGCCACTACAACTACCACTGAAGCCACCACCACCACCACTGAAGCCACTACAACTACCACTGAAGCCACCACAACTACCACTGAAGCCAGCACAACTACCACTGAAGCCACCACAACTACCACTGAAGCCACCACCACCACCACTGAAGCCACCACAACTACCACTGAAGCCACCACCACCACCACTGAAGCCACCACCACTGAAGCCACCACTGAAGCCACCACCACCACTGAAGCCACCACCACCACCACTGAAGCCACAACCACCACCACTGAAGCCACCACCACCACCACTGAAGCCACCACCACCATCACTGAAGCCACCACCACCACCACTGAAACCACCACAACTACCACTGAAGCCACCACAACTACCACTGAAGCCATCACCACCTCCACTGAAGCCACCACAACTACCACTGAAGCCACCACAACTACCACTGAAGCCACTACAACTACCACTGAAGCCACCACAACTACCACTGAAGCCACCACAACTACCACTGAAGCCACCACAACTACCACTGAAGCCACCACCACCACCACTGAAGCCACCACCACCACCACTGAAGCCACCACCACTGAAGCCACCACCACCACCACCACTGAAGCCACCACCACCACCACTGAAGCCACCACAACTACCACTGAAGCCACCACCACCACCACTGAAGCCACCACCACCACCACTGAAGCCACCACAACCACCACTGAAGCCACCACCACCACCACTGCAGCCACCACCACCACCACGGCAGCCACCACCACCACCACTGCAGCCACCACCACCACCACTGCAGCTACAACCACCACTACAGCTACCACGACATCCACCACCACAACAACTACCAGTACATCCACTACAACAATATCCACTACAATCACTACATCAACCACCACCAAAGCCTCCACTACCACCACTATATCCACCAGCACCTCTACATCAACCACCACCAAAGCCTCCACTACCACCACTATATCCACCAGCACCTCTACATCAACCACCACCAAAGCCTCCACTACCACAACCACCACCAAAGCCTCCACTACCACAACCACCACCAAAGCCTCCACTACCACAACCACTACAACAAAAACAACAACGGCCAACGCATGCATCTTCAGCTCAGCACAGGGAAGCGCTAAGTGTACCACTAACTGTACCAACAATCCGAAGCTGGTTTGTCCAGGTGGTGGTTCGAAACCCTCTGGTTGTATAGGTAATAAGTGCAGATGTTGTGATCTGCCAGTTTCCTGATGCAGGAGATGGTGTCTTCCACCACCAGTCTTGAGTCGGTGTTTACTTCTTGTATTAACCTTACACTCACCCACACACACCCTTGCACTCCCCCCATACACAAGCTTACATAGTTGTAAGACAATCAATCAGTCAATAGTGGGGTTGGGCACCCACTCTGACAAGCAGAAGCGTAAATCAAGCTTCACTGACATGCATATAGTACACTGAGCTCTCCAGCTTGCGTTTACCCACACGTGTTGTGCTTTCTACTTTGAGGCTCTGATCCCGGACCCTCACTCAGGCTGCGCTGTGTTCTGGTGTCTATTGGTACCACTGTTGGTGATATCAATAGATATCACCAACAACACGTGTTCGTCCTGTGCTCGGGGGTAGATTTTCTAGTACTATAAAAAGTTGTCTGTGCATTGATTGGTTTATTTAGGGTTGAGTTTCGCGTGCTTTGATACATCTTATTTTGTCTGCTGTGGCATCTAAATGGGACCTGTTTATTTATCTGTGAATTGTATTGCAAAAATATTTGTTGTTGTTATTAAAGTGCATTTTAAGCAGAGAGTTTTATTTCGTATTAACCGAAATAGGAGAATTGAAGCAAGAAATATGGAGGAAAATATGCAAATCTCAAAACAATTTTTTTTAGAAGTAGTTGTATGAGGAATGCAATAAAGTAATTTTTTTTACTTTATACAAGTATTATATAACCTATTTTGTGTAATCTACCTGTCCTTGTATGAATTAACATTCGCAGTATGGTAGTAAGTATATATAACCCTATTATATTAATTTATTAGTGCGATCTAACTTTCTTAGTATGGTCTAACTTTCTTAGCATGGTCCTACTTTCTTTCCATGGTCTAACTTTCCAACCCATCCTCGACTCAAGTCCATTACATCCAGCGGTCGACCCCACAGACGCATTCATAAATTTTAATATGCTGTTCATTCAAAACGGGAATTTTCTCAAGTATAAATTAATATTATAATATATTAGCATATTGTGCATATATAGGCATAGGTTAGGTTAGGTTAGGTGTTTAGGTTCTGTTGGCGATTATTTGTATTTGTAGTACGTGGGTGAAGCATTTATAGCGTTGTGATTCGAACAAAATTCGTCAGTGAAACACTTGTTCCGGATATGTTCGAACGTCAGCAGTTGTGAGTCGTGTGTAAACCGCTTTTCATTCATAAACAGGGGGTTTGGCGGGTGCATGGAATCACTTTTGGATCTTTGTTTGGAGGACGGGCTGTTTACAGCGTTGTGGTATTTATAAATGCACAATATACTAATATATTATAATATTAATTTATATTTGAGAAAATTCCCGTTTTGAATAAACAGCATGTAAAAATTTATGAATGCGTCTGTGGGGTCGACCTCCGAATGTAATGGACTTGAGTCGTGGACGGGTTGTCATTGAGAAGTGCGATTCGAACACAGGCAAAGACCGAACACTATTCAAGAAAATTTCTTGCGTATGCAATTGTGAGACATGTATAAAGTGTTTTGCTTTCATTAAGAAGAAGACTGGCAGCTGCATTAACGAGCAGTTGGCCAACGTTGATGTGGATATTGAGGTTGAAACATCAGTTCTCCCCAAGTCCCCCAAAACTAACGTCATAACAGAGCCCAGTGAGCTGAGCAAAACGCCGAGAGGGTTCGGGCGAGGTCGAGGCTTGGTATCGAGGA